ACCATACGTTTCTGTAGGCAAATCTCATTTATTGATTAGTTTTGTGGTGAAAAAATCAATGGACCATTTACAATGATTTTTAGCTAGTTTTACTTTACTCATCTCTTGAACTGGTGTTGTTGAATTTTAGGCATGAAAATGTATCTATTGAATTTAGGCTTGAAAATGTATCTATTGAAATATCTGTGAGATATAAGAACACGTTTTCCACAAAAATGTTGTAGATTCACCTGTGACTGGCAATTGCATGACCAGTGTTTTGTGTCACTGAATGTATTTATAATATGTAATGACTACGTCTTGTAAAAATGTTAAATTTGCTTTTGTATTTGAGATGGGTTCCCAACTAGCTGAGCTGACATATTGGAAATAGGGATCTCCTTATAACAGTAATGTGGATTAATTTATTTTGAGTTTTTATTTTGGTGACTGTTAGTTTATAACAAAAGAATTATTGTATTGGGGTGATTATTAGCACTTTACTTTCAAAAAAAGATATTTTGTGACTTATTTCTGCAGATTAACTCTGTTTTTAGCTCTGCTGTCGTCGAAGTTGACAGTGCGGAGCTGTCGTCTCCCGTCAACAATTATATTTCCAGCTTCTAAATCAGAAAAAAATACTGGTACAAAATTTTCACAGCCAAATGGTCTGTTTTGGCAACATTAAGCCAACCACAAAATTCGGTTGAATTCATCGTTTTTATGTGGAACAGATTCTTATATTCAAACATCTAACTACACAAAGAACATAGAATACTTTTCCAGGGGTATTCGAAAATTAAATTGTCATATGACTGTAAAGTGATCACTGATTGGCTTCTAAGTTGGAAGACAAACATTCGTCATTTCTCAGAGAACCCTGGACCGATTTTTTTTCAAATCTGGTACAAATGGGAGAAATGTGCACATCGATTTATTTGACCTTTGACTGACTGGTGGCCATTTTTGTCCCAAAAAACAACAAAACATCAACTGTTATTTAAACATGACTTGACCGATTTCATTCAAAAGTGGCATTTACATAAGTCATCATTTTTTGTGTGATTCTATTCGTAATGGCTGCCTCGTGGCCATTTTGTTTTTGTACAAGTGTTCTGCTCATTTTACAGAGATGAGTGTACAGATTTGGGTTAAAAACTGTAAAAAGGCAAGATATAATGGGTTAAATGTTGTTTTCAGTTATTTTTATTTTTCATCGAAATTTAGTCAATTGGCTGTCATTTTTGTCAAAAC